CCCCCCCCCCCCGCATTTATGTTGTGGGTCTTTTTGTTTTTTTGGGGTTTTTTTGAGCTCCTCACCCTTGCAGGGGAAGGGATTTTTTTGGGTGATCCACCTCCTTGCTACTGTGTTTGGCTTGGACAGTGGAACTCCTAAACTCCCTGCTGGCACATCCTCAGAGTTCCTGAGCTTTGGAATATCTTTGGGAATCACGCTGCTCCCTTATTCCCTGGAAATCACACTGTGCCGGTACCCACAAGGGATCAGGTGGCTTTGTAGGAGTGAGAATCCATGCAAGGAGGCTTTTGGAAGCTGGCACACGAGTAGGAATGGGATTGCCTGGTAACTGCACACTTAAATTTCCTTCTCCCGAGGCAAAATGCCCTCGGCAGTGCTGCTGATGGGCTGTGTGTAAACTGTGTTGGCTTTCAGCTCTTCCTAAGTCCTGCTTATGTTTATTATTTATTCAAATGGAAGCTGTAAATCTTCATCAAATCTTCGTCTTGCACGTAGAGGACAAAAACAATTAAAAAAAGAGATGTCAGGTAAAAAAAAACCCAACAAAATAAACTGGTATTTTTTAGGAAATGTACCCAGCTGCTGCTGTTACAAGTGACTAAGGAATAGAGAGATGCTGATGTACTATAGGGGAGTCTATTTTTAACCTTCCTTGCTTTGTGTGACAGTTAATTTGTGTGGTTTCCTCTACCTGCAGCCACTTTGGCCTTAAAAATAAGACAACTTTTCAGGCAGCAAAGGGAGGGACAGGAGGAACATCCCCAGCCACCAAAAAAAATCAGGGTTTGATTGCAGTTGTAACACTTGCATCCAATCTTTTAAACCGAATTAGCTGTGTTGTCTCACCCCCTCTTCTCTCAGTCTGTTTGCCTTCCTGCAAAATAGAAGGGATTTCTAATTTTTAAGCCATTTTCCTTGCTCTGTGGACCATTAATTAGGGGGATTTTCAGTATTAGGGGTTTGCAGTGAAGAGTCAACTTGGAAATTCATGCACCCACTGAAACTAAAAACTCACATGAGTAGAGGGGAAAAGCCACCGTGTGCTTATTGTTCTGTGAGTGCTGTAAAACTGCTGTTAAATGCACTTCAGTTTTTTTGGGGAAGCAAAAAACCCTTGTGCAGTTTAAAGCTGCCTGAGTGAGAGTGAGCTGCACGCTCTTCTCAGCAGAGGAAAACCAGAGGGAGATGGCTTCATTTTATGGAACTTAGTGGAATATGTAATCTTATGGTGGGATATCTGGGTTTTTTTTGCTGGGTTTCACTGTGTTTGCACCTCTCTGTTTTCAGCTGTGAGTGGAAAATATGTCAATAAAAACATTATTTGTGCTTATTTTCGTGTGGCTGCGGTTCCTGTCGTTAGCTGTGGTATAAGGTGATACAAGAAATGTTTTCAAGCTTTTTTTTTTTCTGCTTTTCCAGGATAAACCTGGTATTAAACAAAGGATGTTTTTACCATTTTCTCAACGCTGGACGTCAGCACCTCCTTAATGATGTTTCCTGACTTTGCTCAACCAGTGCTTTTATTATGCATTTTGTTGGTAAACAGATGGAAACCAACCTATTGTGGGGGATTAAATCAGCTTCCTTTTATGTGAGCTCACCTATAACACAACGGGGGGCAGGTCCTAATTGTATAAAAGTGGGGCTTTGTGGGGTTTGCAGTGTTCAAAATCAATGATTTTGAGGAAACCGCCGCCTCCTCCCCCGGTGTAATCAGCTGATCCTTATAAAAACCGGGCCTTTTGATGTCCAGTTGCGATTCTGTGGAGCTCTGACCCGTTTCCCGTGCCTTGCAGTGCCCGTTGGGTGATGGTGGTGCCCGGGAATGCCCCGGTGATCCAGCAGGACCCCGCTCTGGAGCCCGAGCTCGGGAGGGACCCCCCGCAGCACCCTACCATGGGCCCTGGCACGGAGCCCGCGCCCGAGGAGGTGGGCCCGGAGCTGGCAGAGGTGAGGAAGCTTCGGGAGCTGGTGAGGAGGCTGGAGCTGGAGAACCAGCACCCCAGAAGCAAGAGCAGCAGGAATGTGCTCGGGCCGGGGGAGATCCTGCCCGTGGCCAACCCCGGCCTCAACGGGCTGGAGCTCAACGACAGCATCAACCACATCAGCGAGCAGCAGGAACTGCAGATCATGGCGGATCTGCACAGCCAGTGGAGCAAAATCAGGCAGGAGGAAGGAGACAACGACTGCTTCCAAAGAGCCCTGGATGCCCAGAGGGAATACAGCTGCAACAGTGCCCCCCGGGAGGAGGTGCCCCCCGAGGGTGGCACGGGCAGGTGTTCCTCCTGCGTGGATACAAGGGACGGCTCCGAGCTGCTGGGGGTCCATCCCTCGGCCAGAATCCACGAGCAGGAGCCCAGGGAAAAGTGTGCAGACCTAGAAAGCCTTTCAAACAACGAGGACCTGGATGAAGTGAAAGTGTTGGAACTTGAGAACTGCACCGAGGAGGAGGATTGCTGGTACGTGTCTCCAGGCCTGGGGGGCAGAGGGAACTTACTGGGAGCTCCTGTGTTTGGGTGTGCAGTTACTTTTAAGGGTGTGAAGTGATTTCTATTCATTTTTAGCAAGAAGAATGCAGTTCTCCTTAGTGGCTCTCCTTATCTTTATATCCAGTGTACCAGAACCTCATTTTTA